GGTGCTAATCTCCGTTTCCAAGCTGAAGAGCCAGTTCTGTCCAAAGACATTTCCATGGTCACCTGGCCGACATGACTAGATGCCGAGGCACACGGGATGCTGTTACCTTCCCACCAAAACGGTACCTATTTATCTACCTGCAATTTCTTGCTTTCGAACTGCTAGGTTGGCAGGAGCTGGGACCAGAGACAGGAGCTCACCTCGTCATGTGGCACTCGGGTCTCGAACTGCCGAACTGCCCACTTTCCGGTCTGCAGCTCAGCGTCTTAACCACTTGAGCCACTGCAGCCCCTGAGGGTGAATTAGCTCTACTAAAAAGCCAGTATAGTGCAATGGTTAGAGTGTCAGACTAGGAGACCCAGGTTCGAATCCCTGCTTGTGCCACGGAAGCTTGCTGGGTGGCCACTCGCACGTTCCCAGCCTAACCTACCCCACAGGGATGTTGTGAAGATAAAAACAGAGCAGAGAGAATGATGTGAACCTCTTTGGGTCCTCACTGGAGAAACAGGGCAGGGTATAAATGTCATAAATAAATAATTTTAAAAGCACTGTGCCTCAGAAGGTGCACCATGATAGGAACGACCCGTTTGTGGAGCTAGAATTAGAATACCTCATTTCACACATGCAAGCCATCATTTAACTCTCCATGACAAACCCGCTTCTGTGAACCTGCCCAAATCATCGTAAGAGGTGGAAAGTATAGAAGGAGTCTACGTTGGGACATGAATTCAAATCTCACCTCCTCTTTGTGCTCACTAAGTTACTCGGGGCAAGTCGTTCTCAGGCTCCATTTCCCCGCCACAGAAAGGGAAGCAAAGGGTTAGTGTGAGGGCCTTAGTGCCATGTGCGGTTAAATGATTTATAGCAGGGGTGTCAAACATGCAGGCCGGGGGGCGGATCAAGCCCTTGGAGGTCTGCAATCCGGCCCACAAGGCCCTGGCTGTTTCCTGCTTCCTTTCCCAGTTCTGCTGCTGCAATAACTCAGAGCCAAGAGGTGTAAGTTATCAGGGACCGTTAAACAGAAACGATATTGCAAGAGTGCAAGTGTTTTAAGCATGTTTTATTCAAAGTTTTAAAAAATCTTTAATTGTGTTTGTGTCCTTTCTAAAGTTGATCTCTCCACTACCTGCCATGACATTCCATGACACGCGTGGCCCGGCCCAACAAGGTCTCATTTATGTCAGATCCGGCCCTTGTAACAAATGAGTTCGACACCCCAGATTTATAGACTAGAACTCCTACACAATTCAGAACTGAAGAGCACCAGGGTGAAGACGGAGTACCTTGTCCGATGCAGACGATGCCGGCGATGATCACGGCTATGAGGGCCAGCACTTTGGCGTAGGTGGACAGGTCCTGCACCCGGGTGCCCCACTTCACATAGGCGCAGTTCACAAACGTCAGCAAGCCTGTACGACAGAACACACCCCGTGTCAACCCCAAGACCCTACAGGCTGTCTTCCCCCGTCCCCGAAATCCCAGTCTTTGGGCGACAATGGGCACAGCTGCACACGGTATCCAAGTAACCGCAAAAAGGATATTATAGCATTGGGAAAAGTGCAGAAAAGGGCAACAAGAATGATCAAAGGGTTGGAACACTTTCCCTATGAGGAAAGGCTAAAGCGCTTGGGGCTCTTTAGCTGGGAGAAACGACGACTGAGGGGTACAGGCTTGGGTCAAGAGCAGTGTCCCCTCTAAGCTGAGTTAGTGTGAGCTAGCTCACCGTTTTTTAGGCTCCGGCTCACAGATTTTTGCCTTAGCTCAGGAAGGATGTAGCTCCAGAGCAAACTGATGTATGCAGGAGCCAAATCGTGCGCTCACAGCTTTAATGTGAGTAGAACTTTTGCTCACAAGACTTAGAGGGAGCATTGGTCAAGAGTTCTGTGAGAAACGTGCAAACAAATAGCTGGGATTCGAACAGGAGGGCGGGAACAAGGGGAAGGCCTTCCCAGGTTCCCAAGAGGAGCAGGGAAGTTCACTGTTTTCCCCGACGTCCCGGCTTCTGTATCTTTTTAACCTTCCTTCCTTCGGTTCTCTCCTCCTCTCTCCCAGACACACAAAGAAGGAGCACGTTTCTCTCCATCTTTGCCACCATGGATGGAGACGCATTCTGCATCTGCATCCATCTAGCTAGTTAGACTAGATTCTATCCCTTTCACTCAACCTGTACTATCCAGAATGTAGTTCCTTGAATAAAGGATTCTTATTCGTTTGAAACTGACAAGTGGCTCTGCGTAACTCTGTAACTTTGCTAGCACATGTGGAACAAAGAAGCTACTGCTGCGTGTAGCCAATAGTGCCCTCTGCTAAATAAGAGAGAGATGACTGGCTTACTATACCAGTGAATCTAACAGCCACCAGCTGCAGCCACCACGCTGTGTCAGAACTCCAAATGGGACCACAGGCTCAAAAAGGTTCAGGACCCCAACTCTATTTATCTCTCGAGTCTATTTGCTACTGAATAGACCTCTCCTCCATTAATCTACTTCTCAAAAGCCCTACACGGTGCCCCGACCTGGATAGTCCAGGCAAGACCAATCTCGTCAGATCTCGGAAGCTAAGCAGGGTCGACTCTGGCAAGTTCTTGGATGGGAGACCTCCTTGGAATACCAGCAGTTGGGAGGACAGGGGCAGGCTTTATTGAGTTGGGAGGACAGGGGCAGGCTCTCTGAATATCCTCTAGGCTCCCAGTAGGGGTCAGTCACGAGAGGTCAGTACACCAGTTTGGTGTAGTGGTTAGACTCTAATCTGGAAGAACCGGGTTTGATTCCCCACTCTCCCATATGCAGCTGCTGGTGTCATCTTGGGTCAGTCACAAGTTCTCTCAGAGCTGTTCTGGAAAGAGCCGTTCTCAAGAGCACTCAGCCCCACCTACCTCACAGGGTGTCTGTTGTGGGTAGGGGAAGAGAAGGGGGTTGTAAACTGCTCTGAGACTCCTTCGGATACTGAAGGGCGGGGTATAAATCCAATCTCTTCTTCTTCTAGGTGCACACACACTTGCATACACATATGAAAAATACAACCAGGGCTATTTTTGGGCAGGAACGCACAGGAACGGAGTTCCGGCTGGCTCCCAAGTTGGCCACGCCCAGCAGGAACTCATTAGCATAATAGGCCACACCCAATAGCAGAAACTCATTAGGATTGGCTACATTAGGGGTGTGTGGCCTAACATGCAAAGGAGTTCCTGCTACAACAAACAAGCTAAACAGAATAAGAAGCAAAAGGTGGGTGTGGCTGGATCACCACACTTCTGGTAACATGGGGGTGCGGCCTAATGTGCTAATGAGCTGTGCTGTCAGGGGTGTAGCCTAATATGCTAATGAGTTTCTGCTGTTGGGTGTGGCCTATTATGCTAATGAGTTCCTGCTGGGGTTTTTCTACAAAAAGAGCTCTGCAAAACACACACACACACAAACCCTACACAGCTTGAGACCAGGGTATCTGAAGGACCGTCTTTTCCCATACGTTTCTGCTCAGGAATTAATATCACAGGAAGAGGCCCTCATGACTGTCCCGTCAATCAGAGAAACTCGTTTGCTGGGCATACAAGAGAGGGCCTTTTCAGTGGCAGCCCCATGATTATGGGACAACCTTTCCGGGAAGGTGCCCCTGGCCCCTTCACTTTCGATCTTTAGCAGGCAGCTGAAAGACGGTTTTATTTAGGGCCACACTGGATTAAAGCAGCCCTATCTTGTGGTTTTGTTAGTTTTATGATTATGTTTTGTGTATTTTATGGAGCTGCGGTGGCTCAAGTGGTTAAGACGCTGAACTGCAGGCTGTGGAAGGTCAGTAGTTCAGCAGTTCGAGACCCAGGGTGCCGCAAGACGGCGTGAGCTCCCGTCTCTAGTTCCAGCTCCTGCCAACCTAGCCGTTCGAAAGCAAGAAATTGCAAGTAGATAAATAGGTACCACTTCGGTGGGAAGGGAACAGCGTTCTGTGCACCTTGGTGTTTAGTCATGCCGGCCACATGACCGCGGAAACGTCTTCGGACAGCGCTGGCTCTTCGGCTTTGAAACGGAGATGAGCACCGCAACCCTAGAGTCGGATTCGACTGGCTTTCGAGCAAGGGAACCTTTACCTTTTTATAAATAAGATATAATACATACACAACCACATATAAACCCAAAGCCGAAATTCAGTCTTTAGAATGTCCATTCCAGATGCTTGAAAAATCTGACATCGGAAAACTTTCCAAAGAACTGTCCTACTTTGTAAAAAAGGCTTTCGAGCAAGGGAACCTTTTTATTTTATGGTACCCTGCCTTGAGCTCTGGAAGGAAGGAAGGCAACTAAAGAATGTTCTGAATAAATATCAAGCCGTCTAAGCTCATGAGCACATCCTAAATTTGGCATTGTCCGGCGTACAGGCTTGGACACGTTCTTCTGCAAAGGGTCAAGAGCAGTGTCCCCTCTAAGCTGAGTTAGTGTGAGCTAGCTCACAGTTCTTTAGCCTCCGGCTCACAGATTTTTGTCTTAGCTCAGGAAGGATGTGGCTCCAGAGCAAACTGATGAATGCAGGAGCCAAATCGCTCGCTCACAGCTTTAATGCGAGTAGAACTCACAAGACTCCACAACTTAGAGGGAGCACTGGTCAAGAGTTCTGTGAGAAGCGTGGAAACAAGGGGAAGGCCTTCCTGGGTTCTGTCTCGAGTTCCAAGAGGCAGAGGGAAGTTCACTGGTTTCCCCCTTCGATCAGTCCTGGCTTCTGTATCTTCTTAACCTTGATCTTTATTCCAGGAAAGGAGCTCAAGGGTCCGTGCAAGATCTGGTTTCCTGCCAGACACCCAGACCTCGGGGGCGGGGGAACGGACCGGGCACAGGGCGGTCTGCCAAGGTCATGGCCCCCCTCCCCGGTTCCAGGTACAGGAGGCCGCCTCCGTCCCGGGAGGGGGGAAACGGGGACACCTCCAAAACAACACTTCTTTATAAACAAGGCAATAAATTCCTCTCCCTTATCGGGCTTGGAACATGCCGAGAACAGAGAGACCGCAGACAATCGGAGCTGTTTGCATCGCCCCGCTTGGCTCCAGCAGTGCCCCAGCAAGGGACACACACACCCCTCGCCTGAGATTGGGGGTCTCCTGGGGACTGCCCCCAGCCCCTTCCTCTCCTTGCCGGCTTCCCCCCACGTCCTGTCCCTTCCCAGCCACGGAACAGCACGATCCCAGTCACATCCAGAAATAGGTCGTGCAAGTCCGGGGTGCCGCCATTTTTGAAAAAAAACCAAGCACACCTCTGACCATGCACAGAGTGCTCGTTCCTCACTTCAATTTCAAAACGCACGGGAGTTGGCAGCCTGCCCCGAGGAGGAAAGTCTGCCCCGACACAGTGGGAGTCTTCCTTGGGAGAAAGGCGGTGTTACTCAGTTTGGTGTAGAGCCAGTTTGGTGTCGTGGTTAAGTGTGCGGCCTCTAATCTGGGAGAACCGGGTTTGATTCCCCACTCCTCCACTTGCACCTACTGATGTGACCTTGGGTCAGTCACAAGCTCTGGCACAGCTGTCCTTGAAAAAGAGCCGTTTGTGTCAGAGTTCTCTCAGCCCCACCCACCTCAGAGGGTGTCTGTTGTGGGGAGGGGAAGGGAAAGGAGTTTGTAAGCCGCTCTGAGACTCCAAGTGAAGGGTGGGGTATACATCCAATCTCTTCTTCTTCTTCTTCTACTCCTTAAGGGAGCTTGGTGCGAGGAGCCACGACGACGGGGAGTGGGGTGCGAGAAAGTCGGGTCACCAGCTCTGAGTTGGGAAATTCCCGGAGATTTGGGGTGGAGCCTGGGGAGGGCGGAGCCTGGGGAGGGGCGGAGTCTGGAGAGGGCGGAGTCTGGGGAGGGGAGGAACCTCGGCAGGATTGTGTGTTCCCTCTAAGCTGAGTCGGTGTGAGCTCGCTCACCGTTTTTCAGCCTCCAGCTCTCACGTTTTTGTCTCCGCTCGGGAAGGAGGGCTCCAGAGCCAGCTAAGTTATGCAGCTGCCAAATCGCTCGCTCACCACTTCAATCCCAGTGGCTCACAATGTAGAATTTTTGCTCACACAACTCCACGACTTAGAGGGAGCACCGGTTGTGTGACCAGTGCTCCCTCCGAGCTGAGTTAGTGCGAGCTCGCTCACAGTTTTTCAGCCTCCGGCTCACACATCTTTGCCTGAGCTCAGGAAGGAGGGCTCCAGAGCAAGCTGATCTGAGCCGCAGCCAAAACTGCTCGCTCACAACTTTCATGCCGGTCGCTCACAAAGGAGAATTTTTGCTCACAAGACAACCACAGCTTTGAGGGGGCACTGGTTGTGATGTCACCCCAGGCCGTTTCTCCCAAACTCTGTGGCATACCACACGGTCGCCCCCTCCAGAGCTGCCGTTTCCTCCAGGGGGGCCGGCCTCAGTAGCCCAGAGATCGGTTGTGATTCTGGGCGATCTCCAGGCTCCACCTGGAGGCTGGCAACCCTGTATAAAGGAGAGGGACTCCGGTTCCAGACTCAGCTCTGCCGGAATGGCCTAAGGAAAGCCTCTCTCTCTCTCTCTCTCAGCTCCTCCATCCGAGACAGGGCAGAGTAGTGGGGAAATGTTCCCTCTAAGCTGTGGCGTCTTGTGAGCAAAAATTCTACTTTGTGAGCCACTGGCATTAAAGTTGTGAGCGAGCGCCTCGGCTACTGCATCAATTAGTTTGCTCTGGAGCCATCCCTTCCTGAGCTAGGACAAAAATGTGTGAGCCGGAGGCTAAAAAAACGGTGAGCTAGCTCACACTCACTCAGCTTAGAGGGAACACTGGTGGGGGACTGACTTCAGCTTTCAGGGCTGCCGGGCAGGTGGCAAAGAAGCCGTTCAGGCACAGAGGAAAAGCCCTGTGAATAGTGTTCCCTCTAAGCCAAGTTAGTGTGAGCTAGCTTACAGTTCTTTAGCCTCCAGCTCACAGGTCTTAGCTCAGGAAGGAGGGCTCCACAGCAGTGTTCCATCTAAGCTGAGTTGGTGTGAGCTAGCTCACAGTTCTTTAGCCTCCAGCTCTCAGGTTTTTTTCTTAGCTCAGGAAGGAGGGCTCCAGAGCAGTGTTCCATCTAAGTTGAGTTAGTGTGAGCTAGCTCACAGTTCTTTAGCCTCCAGCTCACAGGTTTTTGTCTTAGCTCAGAAAGGATGGGGTTCCAGGGCAGTGTTCCATCTAAGTTGAGTTGGTGTGAGCTAGCTCACAGTTCTTTAGCCTCCAGCTCACAGGTTTTTGTCTTAGCTCAGGAAGGAGGGCTCCAGAGCAGTGTTCCCTCTAAGCTGAGCTGGTGTGAGCTAGCTTACAGCTCTTTAGCCTCCAGCTCACAGGTTTTTCTTAGCTCAGGAAAGATGGGGCTCCAGGGGAGTGTTCCATCTAAGTTGAGTTGGTGTGAGCTAGCTCACAGTTCTTTAGCCTCCAGCTCCCAGGTTTTTGTCTTAGTGTAAGCTAGCTCACATTTCTTTAGCCTCCAGCTCACAGGTTTTTGTCTTAGGTCAGGAAGGATGGGGCTCCAGAGCAGACTGATTTACGCAGTGGCCCAATCGCTGGCTCACAATGTTAAATACCAGGAGCTCACCAAGTAGGATTTTTGCTCACAGGACTCCGCAGCTTAGAGGGAGCATTGCCCGTGAACCCTCAGGACTGCATCCGATCCTTGATTCGAAGCCACCGGGAAGCCGGCTCTTGGCCTGCCGACAGCAGATCGGCTTGTTCTCCCCGCCGCCGCCATGTCAACACCAGCAGCAGCAGCAGCAGTTTTCAGTCCTGACCCCCGCGGCCCGTCGCTTCCTCAGCCGGCACATTCCTGTGTTGCAACCGGTGTGGTTTTTGGGGGGAGCCTGACGCAGCGCTTCCCGCCCAGCGGAGCCAGACGAGAGCTGCCGACTCAGCACTGCCTGGTGGCTCAGCTGATGTCACCGGTTTCCTGAGCGGAGACCCAGAAACACCCGCAGGTTAGACGGAAGGGAGACTGGCGCGGGAGACTGCGGGACGGCCAAGGAGGAGCACGCACGGCACATCCGTGGGGCTTGCCCGAACCTGCCTTTGGCGCTGGACAAACACAGAAAGGGAAAGCAGAGGGCCTCGGAGCATGCGCAGAGGGTCTTGGCCTCCTCGGTCCCTCTGTCTCCCCACACCCCCCAGTCACATGATCCTAGCAACGGAGAACAATGCCCCACAGGCGGCCAGTTAAGCACGAAGCATGCACAGACTTGTCTGTACACAAACAGCTTAGCATTCCACTCCCTCCTCTTTCGGGACAAGGGGACCTAAGAGGCGGGACTCATGGGTCCTCTCTACCGCTCTGCGCAGGACAATGAGGCCTAGTGGGTAACGGAGGGGAGAGATCCGATCATTTTCCCCCTTTAGTTAAGGTTGCCAGCCTCCAAATGGGGCCTGGGGATCTCCCGCTTTTACAGCTGGTCTCCAGCTGACAGAGATCATCTCCCCTGGGGAAAATGGCTGCTTTGAAGGGTGGGCTCTATGGCCTTGGACCATGCTGAGGCCCCTCCCCTCCCCAAACCCCGCCCTCTCCTGGATCCACCCCCAAAGTCTCCAGGTAGTTTCCGACCCAGACCTGTTCTACCTTTAGTAGAACTTCAGTACCTTTAGTAATAATAATAATAATAATAATGCTTTCGATTTATTGATCGCTCACAGTAGAACTGCAGAGATTTTTAACAACAGGCAGAAATCCAACAGACGATGGAAAGCCTTAACTCCTAATGGGCCAGCTGGCCGTTAAAAGGCAGAGGAGCCCCACTGGGCAAAAGAGATGGCAACCCTAGAAATCTTTCTGTGCCTCAGACAGCCAGGAGAGTGAGGTTCCCAAGTTAAGGTTGCCAACCTCCAGGTGGCGGCTGGAGATCCCCAGGGATGACGACTGATTCCCAAAGTGGCGGAGATCAGTCCACCTGGAGCAAACGGCCATTTTGGAAGGTGGACTCTGTGACGTCATACCCCACTGAAGCCCCTCTTCTCCCCAAACCCCGCCACCCTCGGGCTCCATCCCCCAAATCTCCAGGTATTTCCCAACCCGGAGCTTTCAACCTTCTCCTAAGTGGAGCAGGGAGCCAAGGATGGGTCTGATCGGGGGTATCTACGAGGAGGCCTCGTCACTTGGAATCTGTCCCCAAATTTGGGGGAAATGCTGGCACCCATGACGCAGAGCAAAGGATAATGAGAGCCAGGACAGTGAGCGATTGTCCACGGCCCCACACTGAGAGGGCTCTATGGTCGGTGGGAGCGCCAGGAATGGTGGAGGGAAATAGAGCAAAGTCAAAAGGCAAATTGCAGTGCAGTTTCGAAGGGCGTGCATTGTGAAAACTGGGAGCTGTATTCTCGTTCGGAGTGGCTAGGGCGGGAACCAAAGGAGCATGGGGCCCTCGAGGAGGCCTCGTCACTTGGAATCTGTCCCCAAATCTGGGGGAAATGCCGGCACCCATGACGCAGAGCAAAGGATAATGAGAGCCAGGGCAGTGAGCAATTGTCCACGGCCCCACACTGAGAGGGCTCTATGGTCAGTGGGAGTGCCAGGAAATGGTGGAGGGAAATAGAGCAAAAAGTCAAAAGGCAAACTGCAGTGCAGTTTCGAAGGGCGTGCATTCTTGAAAACTGGGAGCTGTATTCTCGTTCAGAGTGGATAGGGCGGGAACCAAAGGAGCATGGGGCTCCCTTCCTGGACTTTTATCTAGTGTCTCAGAATTAGGCTTGCCAAGTCCCCCCGGGGGGCAGGGAAACCCCCATCCCAGAGGCCCGTTCCCTGCCACCGGTGGATCAGGCCCTGGGGGGAACTCCACCCCGACGTGCATGTCGCCTGGACGTAACGCGGGCACGCCGGGGGCAGGGCCACGGTCATCCGAGGGAAAACTCTATGGTTTTCCCTCGGATGGTCGTGGCCCCGCCCCCAGCGTGCCCGGCATGCCCGCATCACTTCCGGGTGACATGGATGCGGTGCGCGCACCAGCCGCCAGCTGGGAGTCCCCCGCCGCGGCTGAATTCACACTTGGCAACCCCACTCAGAATCCCTGAGACCGCCCCTAAGGACGCCTGGGTCCTATCTTCAGCACAGACAACTAAGGTGGGTCTCTCTGGGGATGCTCAAGAGCTGGACATTTTCCCCCCTGTAGCGTCAATCTTGGAACTTAAACAAGGTCAGCCCTGGTTAGTATTTAGAAAGGAGATCACCCAGGAAGTTCAGAGTCCCTATGCCGTGGCACACAACAGCAAGCCCCCTCTGAGCGTCTCTTGTCGCAAATACCCGACAGCGTAGGTGTCAAACTCATTTGTTATGAGGGCCGGATCTGACATAAACGCCACTTTGCTGGGCCGGGCCATGTGCGCCATAAAACGTAATGCCAGGCACCGGAGATAGAAACTGTATAAAGGACTGCAGTGGGTAAGCTCCGAGTTGGTGTATCCTCACTGCAAGGCCCCCCATGGGAAAAGGAAAACCCACCTAGGCAGACTGGAGAGCCAGCAGTGTAGCGCCGGGCAGATGCTCCCACGACGCTTGAGTGCTGCAGACAAGGCTGTTCTGCCGTGCCGAAGCCACAATGGAGCGGCTCCGCCCACTCCCCTCAGCACTTCCTCCTTTGAATCGACTGCTCGCGGGCCGCATAAGAGCCCTGGACGGGCCTGATCCGGCCCCCGGGCCTCATGTTCTGCCGTGCCGAAGCCACAATGGAGCGGCTCCGCCCACTCCCCTCAGCACTTCCTCCTTTGAATCGACTGCTCGCGGGCCGCATAAGAGCCCTGGATGGGCCTGATCCGGCCCCCGGGCCTCATGTTTGACACCCCTGCTCTAGGCTGATCCTGCATCGAGCGTGGGGTTGGACTCGATGGCCTCTCGGACCCCTTCCAACTCTGAGATTCTGGGATTCCAAGAGTCAAAAACGGTGCCGATGAAGGGAAAAGTCATTGAATGGGATGGGGAGGTCACGGGAGGGGGACGGAGAGAGTGGGGGAAAGAGAAAGGGAGATTAGATAATAGAGAACAGGGCGCCCTTCAAGCCGCCGGCAGCCTTGGCAATGACCCCCCCCATCCAATGTTCCCTCTAAGCTGTGGAGTCTTGTGAGCAAAAATTCTACTTTGTGAGCTACCGGCATTAAAGTTGTGAGCGAGCCATTTGGCTGCTGCATAAATTAGTTTGCTCCGGAGCCATCCTTCCCGAGCTAAGACAGAAATGTGTGAGCCGGAGGCTAAAAAACTATGAGCTAGCTCACACTAACTCAGCTTAGAGGGAACACTTCCCCCATCCAGTCCCTGCTTTGGAATAGCCCCCCTTCCAGGCCCACCAAATCCTCCATCCACACAGCAAACCTCCCTCCCCCGCCCGGGCTGGTCTCACTCACAGATACAGGCAGCGGCCAAGAGGCGGCCGGCCACGTACGGGGCCTCGCAGGACGGGAAGACGGGCTGCACCAGGTAGTTGGCAAAGGTGATGGCGATGACGGCCTGGCTGGTGGGCTCGATGATGAGGAGGGACGTCCAGAGGCGGATGAAGGCCGGCAGCTCCCCGAAGGCCTCGAGGATGTAGGCGTAGCTGGCCCCCGACTTTTTGATGGTGGTGCCCAGCTCGGCGTAGCAGAGGGCCCCGAAGACGGAGAAGAGGCCCCCCACGGCCCAGACGACGAGGGAGAGGCCGTAGGAGTCACTGTACATCAAGACCCCCTTTGGGGAGACGAAGATGCCCGAGCCGATCATGTTGCCCACGATCAAGCAGACGCCGTTCAGGAGGGAAATCTCCTTCTTCAGCTGCATGGATTCCTCGGGAGGCGGACGGGGGGAGGCCGAGGTGCCGTTGGGTACCGCTTTGGCAGGAGGGTCTCCCTGGGAGGCTGCGACGTAGTGGGTGGTCTTGGCCATCGCTGGGGTAAGAAAAAGAGAGGCGGGGGTTTACAAATGTCCCCCTGCAGGAGGCGCCACTGACAACCCATAGGGTGGCTTCTGAAAGGGGCTTTCTCCCCTGGGTTCCCGTGGAGTGCTTTCAGGGAAACTGGATGGGGCTACACGGATTTGCTGGGGTGGGTGGAATGTTGGGTGGTGGTGGTCTTTCTTTGGGTGTAGTTCACATCTCCAGGAAAGAGGCAGGCAGGTCTTAGGGGGGAAGGAGGAGGAGATTGGATTTATACCCCACCCTTCACTGCCCAAGGGAATCTCAGAGCGGCTTACAAACTCCTTTCCCTTCCCCTCCCCACAACAGACACCCTGTGAGGTAGGCGGGGCTGAGAGAGCTCTTGACAGAAACTGTTCTTTTTTCAAGAACAGCTCTTATCAGAACTACAAATCATCCAGCCAGGTGCAAGTGGAGGAGTGGGGAATCAAACCCGGTTCTCCCAGATTAGAGTCCGTGCACTTAACCACTACACCAAACTGGCTCTCAGAAGAAGATCTCAGAAGAAGAAGAGATTGAATTTATACCCCGCCCTTCACTACCCGAAGGAGTCTCAGAGCAGCTTACAATCCCTTTCCCTCCCCACAACAGACACCCTGTGAGGTAGGCGGGTCTGAGAGAGCTCTCTTGAGAACTTCCCCTTGAGAGAACAGCTTTGAAAGAACTTATGACCGACCCAAGACCAGGGCACCGGTGTTTCTCTCCCTTTCAAATACTGGAAACGAGGGTCCAGTTCTCCCTCCTTCTGGGAAGAAAGATACGCCCAGGGGTTTGCATGAGAGACCAGAAGGGATTCTTGAGGCATGATCTTCATGTCTCGAAGAGGACAGGGAGTTCAAGTTGCCTTGACACCAGCTGTAAAGGTGAGAGGCCAAAGAAGTGGCGCCTGGTGGTTTTCAGAAGCTGGGAAGGAGCCAGGAGTCATGGGGTTTCCGGCCACGAGAGGGGAGTGGCGTCCAGTGGTCAGAGCATGGTGGCAGGGAGCCAGGAGTCGTCGGTTTCAACTCTGAGAGACCAGCCACATCTGCCCAGGGCAAGACATGCGAGTGGTGGGTATCAGGGTTATCAGGGGACACAGAAGAGGTACGGAGGGAGGGGAGGATGGGAGCAAAAGCCCTGATAAGAGAACTCACCGCTCCAGGCTTCCTTCTCCCCTCCTGGTCCGGCAGCCTCCACCCAAGACAGCTTCGTAATAAAGAGAAAGAAGTCCCTGGGACAGCACTTTTAACTTGAGGAACTAAGCTGGGTGGCGGGGGCGGGGTGAGAGGGGGTAAGGGAGGGTGAGCCATTGACCGAGTCCAAGGTCCGTCTGATGCCAGGTGGGGGCAGGGGGAGCCTACCTCAGCACTGCAGAAGATAAGGGGCTGGCAGAGCCTCCTCATGGCAGTGCCCTGTGGCACCGTACAGGCTTCTCTGCCGAAGTGCTATGCGCACACACAGAGGCGCCAAACAGAGTCATTTCCTGTAACAGAAGTCCTGTATTGCAGGAAGTTTTCCAGGCGGCACAAAATTCTTTTTCAGAGCGGAGGAAACCGGTATGTCTCAGAAGCTTGCAAAACGGCCCTGGTTCGAAACAGAAGGCATCCGCCAAAGGCAGTCAAATCGGCAAATCGTGGAGAATTCCTGCATCCTGGTTTTTGGGTCTTGTCCAGGTATTCAGATCCTGGAGATTAACTTTGGAAACCTTGGCAAATGAGAGGTGGGGACCCACCCATTGCGCAAGCAAGGGAACCTTTACCTTTTACAAGGCATTCAGATCCCGAAGATTAACTTTGGAAACCTTGGCTAATGAGAGGTGGGGACCCATTGCAGCGCACCTAATGACCGTTCCCTGTGTTGTGTCAGAAGGTAAGGAGAGCAAACGTCTCACTCGCACGAAACCCCTTTTCCAGAAAGGCAAGCCATTGTGCCCCTTAAAAATGCTTGAACCAGTCCAAAGTATCAGCCAGCATGCATGCACAAGCTCACACCCCTTCCATTGTGGAAAGGTTTCTTTGGGAAATGTTTGGATAACTAGATACTCACAGAGAATCAAAGGGACTGGTATCACACTGATAGACATGATGTGCCCGGGTGTGTTAGATATCCCTTTCGCCACAACTTAATCTCCCAGTGAGCAACAGCAGTTAGGATGGTCAGATTATGCTGTCGCAAGGTTTTTGCGTCTCCCTTCCTCCCTTTCAAACCGCCGTTTCAAACGTTTAAACTTTTAACTACAGCTGCATTCCAGAGAGAAATTCAGCAGAAGATGTTGCTTTCTTTTTCTCCTGGAATAGAGACAAACTAGCCTCTTCAATAGCCATCTACAGCAACATGTGGTCATAAGAACATGGCTAGCTTTGCTTGCTTGCAAGTTAGCCAGATGTGCCTGGCACCCGATCGTGGAAGCCACCTAGCTACTTCCAACTAATTCATGTAGCTTGTTTCCCTTAAATATGGGATCTACTAAAAGGAAGGACAGGATTGCCCATTGGAAACAATGGGAGACGCTGGAAGACCC